TAGCTGTGGCTCTGCCACTCCATGAACACTGTCTGGCAAAGACACACATGTGTTTTCATGCCTCCCAACAGAATCGTCCTACCCATTAGCAGTCCCTACCCGTTCCGCTAACCAACCCTTATTCACAGGCAACCACTAAGCACACTGTGGACTCGAGATTTGCTAGGTGGGACCATGCATAGAAAAGTAATCATATAACGTGTGCTCAGTGTTTTCAAGTTTCATATAGGTTGCAGCAAAAAAAAATTCCTCTTGATTTTTGAGTAAGTCATAATCCATTATATGGCTACCACTCACAGTGACCCTGCAGGACAGATCAGACCTGCCTCACAGGGTTTTCAAGGTTTCAGGTCTTCAGGAAGGCTGACAGGCCCATCTTTCTGAAGAAGCGACTGGGTTCACCCTGCTCACTTTCCTATTAGCAGCCAAACATTCACCAAACACTGTGCCCGAGGGCTCCTCTTGAATGAATGGACCACATTTAATCTATGCACTTAGCAGCTGGTGGGCACTGGGCTGCTTCTCTTGTTAGGAGACCAGGAATGCTGCTATGGACATTTGTGTCTAAGTTTTTTGTGTGGACACATGGTTTCATTTCTCTTCAATATACATCTAGGAGTGGGCGGCTCAGTCCTTCTGAGGACCTGTCAGTCTGTGTTCCACAGTGGTTGACATTTCAAACAGTAACATGCAAGTGTTTCAATCCTCACATCCTTGCCAACACCTGCTATCATTTGTCTAAAAAAATTTAGGCACCCCAGTGGTGCAGTAGTTAAAGCACTTGGCTGCTAACCGGGAGGCTGACGGTGGGAACCCAGCAGGCACTCTGTAGGAGCCCAAACCGACAGCGGGCCTGGTGTTTGGTTTGGTGACATGCTATCTCACTGTGAAACCTGGAAGGCACGCTTGAGTCCAGGCTATTCTAGCTCCTAACATTGTCTTCCTGTTCTTTTTCCATTCCTCTACTAAAGCAATCGTCTAACTAATCTTTCTTCCTCCTCAAAACTCATCAGTGGTCTTTAAAAAAAACCCTGAAATTATGTACCAAGCTAAACCAAACCAAATTCACTGCTGCGTTGATACCAACTCACAGTAAGCATACAGTAAACCCAACAAATAACAGTGACCCCCAACAAAGAACGGCTTTACCCCACAAAGCAGCAGCACCCCACAGGGTTTCCAAGGCTTCAATCTTTACAGAAACTTATTTCCCATGGGAAATCATTTGTCTAAACCCCTGCCACGATGCTAAGGCCTGAATCTGGCTCTCATTTCCCTCACACAGACTCACCGTGACACCCCGCCCCCCGCCACCGAGTGGGGTCTCACCTTGCAGCGTTTCACAGAGTGCAGATGTTTCCGGAGCAGACCTCACCTTTTTCCTGGAGGGGCCAGTGGGCTGGAACTTGTAGGTTAGTGGCCCAAACGCCTAACCCACAGCTCCCCTAGGGGCTCCGTAGCATTGTCACTCATCAGAATTCATTCCATGACAACTAGGTTACCCCTGCACCTTAAGCGTCAGTGAGGCCAATCTTCTAGCCACTCATTGAACTAGGTGCTGCTTCACATCTTGGGTTGGGTGCTCCGCCTGCCCGCCCGGCTGTCTTGTGCAAGCCTACCTGCCCCTCCAACAGCTCCTTCGTTTTGAAGACTGAGTTCTAGAGTGGAGGTCTCTGGACGCCTGTCTTTCTTTATCTAGAAAGGACTATCCACTCCATCTTGTAGGACTCCATTGCATTCTTTCATAGCACTTAAACCAGAATGCTGCAGACACTATCTTATTCATCAACATACTTTTCATGTCCAGTACAAGGCCAGAGTGTCCTTGGGTAATGAAAAGGGCTAACCTACTACGACCGGAACAGGAAAGTTAGAGGTGAGAGTCCACTCAAAGACCCCTGGGGAACAACTTACCAGCCACAAACTCTGTTCCAGCAAGTTCGGCAGTCGCAAGGAAGTCATCGAGAGAGCTTTGCTCAGTGACTGAATGAAGATTAAGACGCCCCCAATCATAGCCATCATTGAGCTCACTTGTGTGCAACTATGAATAAAATGCAGGGAATTAATATAGCTGCTCTCTTTTGCTCCTAACATCCACCAAGCCACCAACTTCCGTGTAACTGTTAGCTGATTGCAAGGGAGGTGTGGCTTAGAATTTATGTTAGCAGCAGTTAACATTTAAACAGGCAGTTCCTTACCTCGTGATAGGCAAGCAAGTTCATTACATTGTTGTTAGTTTATTATCTCATCTAATTATAAAAAAATCTTTTGAATTGTATTATACCTCTTGTTTATTAATGAGGAAAGATGCCTGGTGGGGCTATCAGGTAAGCACTGGACTGTTGATCACAGTGTTCCAGGTTCAAGCCCACCCGTGACTCTGGGAGATGAGACTGGCTGTTCCCATCAAGATTCACAGCCTTAGGGACCTCACCTAAGGCTACGAGGAACCAAGATCCACTCCACTGTTGTATAGTCATAAACCAGTAAGTGATAGAGGTAGAACTTGAATCAAAACCGCTGGTCCCTGCCCCTCCGCCATCAGCATTAAATGGTAAACAATATACATAAAGACCCAGGTATGTGTGACATACATGATACATACAAATGCTAGTGTACAGCAAAATGGAACAAGACTCCTGAAGCAAAACTTAACTTATTACATGTAACAGTTTTCTCCCCTTTCAATTTATCCTGTTGGTTAAAAAGCACTAGTTGCTAAGAGTTGTATGAGCCCCTAATAAAATGAATTAAAAAAAAAAAAGCACTAGTTGCTATCTACTAAATTGATTTTCTAGATACAATTCTGTTTGGGTCAATAAGCAAATGAAAAAGTTATGGGCTAAAAGGTTAGGAGTTCTGATGATCTGAACTGTAAACATCCACTCGGTAAAGTTTCATAAACAATAGAAGGTGCATGGATCTCCGAATAAGAAACGGAACACAGTCTTCTCACTACTTCCTAAAGGCTACATTAATACTAACCCCCACCCCCCTCAACTCATTGCTATCAAGTTCATGCCGACTCACAGCAACCCTACAGGGCAGGGGAGAACTGCTCCTGTGGGTTTCCCTGACTAACTCCTTGTGGGAATAGAAAGCCCCATTTTTGTCCCAAGGAGTGGCTGGATGGTTTTGAACTGCTGACCCTGTGGCTCGCAGCCCAACCTGTAACCACTACACCACTAGGGCCCCTACACATTGTTAGCAGGCTGCTTTAAGATGACTACTAAGATTACTAACACTCAGAGTAATCAACTCTTGAAAGCTCGTTTGGAGGTGCTAGCAGGGGAATGCTGTTACTTGTAGACCCTTGACCATAGGATGGTCTTCCTTCTATCGGGGAAGATCATCCACCACCAAGAAGAAGCTTCAGAAGGGATACCCATCTAGCCAGCCAGGCCAGCCAAATCAACCTTGGCAATCAATGGGGTGACAGATGTCACAGCAGATTGCCCTCACATCCAGGAGGAACTCTTATCAGATGAATACTGAGGAGGCCTGTATGCTGCTTTCTCAGTGGGTTGTATGGATGGAAGTGAAATAATTTGATAGCAGTGCATGTGCAGTTATAGATATAAACATGTAAGTACATGTGTGTGTATAACTATATATAACTATACACACACACATATAATTAGAACCAGGGCATCCTGGCTTTCATACAGCAGCTTTTGAGAACCTAGCTCTCCAATACCTGGGGGAATGAATGCGAAGGATAAGGACCAGGCTGATGCATCCAAGTCAAGCTTCAAGGATCCTACAACTGTGATCTTCCACAGACCAGGAGAACAAGAATTGGTCCTACCACATTTTTAGATATGGTTACCTGTGAGCTCAATTAAGATCATAGGTTCCTAAATGTGTTTGGCCTACTGCCCCATTTTCAGAAAACAAAAATACAAATAAAAACTCAGCACGACGAGGCAATGAAAATTGTTTGTACTAGAGCCCACAATCCTGGATAAAGGGAAGGAATTTGGTTTTACAGCCCCCACCCCACCCCCACCCCAGGGTGTCGCCCACGTTGGGAAACACTGCACTAGCGTTAAACAGGTGAAATCGAAT